CCCCCCAGACACAGCACACACTTTACATACCACTTTTTTCTCCAATCCTTAATTCAACTTCTAACCTTTACTCTAGGTATTCTGTGAATCTCCGGTTGTTTTTTTGTATTCTTGATATTTTTCATTAGTTTTAAAGATTTATCAGCCTATAATTCTGGGCGTTTTGAAGTAAAATCTATAGTTTTCAACGGATTAAATTAATTCTTCTTGATATCCCCTCCCAGGTCCGACTCCGAACCCATGGCATGGATAACTAAAATGAAGTATCAAGCACATTTTCCTTCAATTTATAAGTTGTCACTCTGAATATTGAGATTTGCCTATTTTTAACAAAAGTTTTAACCCCTGAACTGTATTTTAATATTTCTTTTATTTATCAACAACTGCAATAAGCTGATTTTGTCGAATACATTAATTTCTAAAAGGAACTGAAACTTCATCTTTTCGTTCTTACATTGATCACACTTCCCTCTCCTCATCATGGAACCCACCCTTCCCCCTGTAGGTATAAAATGCCTAAAAACTAGCTTTTAAAACCTTCAATACCATTTTCTTTTTAAAAAAACTTAAAATTTTCGCTCAAAAAGAAGGCATTTTATACAAACACCCCTTCCCCACCCTTTCCCCTTCCCCCCTAGCGTCAATCACAGGCTACATTCCCCCCGTCACAAGTATTCCCCAGTAAATAACAAGGTGATGACATAATTCTGGCCCAAGTTTTAGGGGAGATTTCAAAATCCAAAATAAAAAATTCCTCAAAAGTTAGCTTTCTAACACTTGGCAACGATAGGAACTGATTCCTGGGACAAATTGATCTCAATAGACACTGCACAGACAAACTGTCCGATAGACAAACAAACATCATGACAGACATTTATCAACAAGTATACTCGTGTATAAGTATACAGACATCAGTAAGAAAAGCTACATAAGGATTCCAATTGGTAAAATTCAATATAAACTCAAAATCAAAAAGGTATTTGGAAAAAAGTCCTAATTTCTGGCACCAAGAAAGTCATGAAAATGTGTAATGCAAATTAATTTGAAGAAAAAAGTCACGGTATGATTTCTTATTTATTTCTGTGACATTTTTCCAATGACTTTTTAAAGGGAATTCTTTAAATAGTATTTATTTTTTGTATAGTTATTTTACCTGAGGCCAAATTTAAAATTGTATTCAATGTTTCAAGATTTAAGCCGGCGCTCAATTAAAACCGGTTTTTGGCGGATTTGAAACGCGGCTCAAATTCATTAAATTCGGACTCAGGAGACTTTGATGCAGTATGATATTCGGAAAAAAGTCATTGTTAAAAATTTTGTATGACTCTATTTCCCATGACTTTTTTTCAAAGAACTTGAGCACACTTTTTTGCTGGATATACAATGTAATTAATTTAAAATATTGACTTATATTGAAAATGTATTGAAGTTTGAACTCAGCCTATCTTGGTTTAGACATTGCTAAATTTCTAATTGCTGTTTTATCTTACTTTAAGAGGTTCCCAGACGCCTTAAATTGTCTGCTCAATAAATATAAATATAACTCCATATATGTAATTAAAAAGTGCTTATACTCGTATTTAAATATGGTGTCCATGATGATCAAAACCTCATTAAGTGAATAAAGTAGGTCTAAGTTCCACATCTTTTTTTGAGATTTGTTTCTGTAATGAAGATTCAAAACATACTTAATCATAGTATATTAAGACGACATCCAGAACTCAAAAGTTCAAATCGTTAATGTGGCAATGTACAGGTGATAAAAATAGCTGGTTGACTCTGTATCTTTTACTCACCTACCCTGTTAACTTTAACAAGGGTTGTCATCTTTCTTTATTGTCCAAGAAACCTGTTTGAAAAAGGGCTACCCCCCCCCCCCCCCCC